CGCCATCCTTATTACCGTGATCATTATCATCGTCATTTTCGTCGTCGTCGTCGTTATTCTCGCCATGATCATTGCCATCATCATCATGATCATCAAAGTCACTCATCATTGCCCATCATCGTCGCCATCATCGCCATCATGGCAATCATCATCATCATCGCCATCATCATCATCCTTGCCACCATCATCGCCATAATGTCGTTTCGGCGCAGGCTGAATAATTGACGAGGCGTTTCACGAGAGAGTTGAGTGTGCGTCTACGCATCTCTGCAACGAGGGCGGTTTTCAGAGAGGCGTCGGTAAAATGATGGCGCTTAGATCTCGGTTTAGTGACGTGACCTCGGCTCCTGCCGCTGCTGATGCTGCAGCAAAAGCAAGAGGAGGAGATGCAGTGGTGAATGTGAATTTATTGAATGTCATGGGGCGTTTAGAGGGAGGGCGGGCGGGCGTGGTGGGGGTAGTGTTGGTGTGGGGTGGTGGTGGTCGGGGTGGTGGCAGTGCACGTATTTTGAACGTCTGTCGCACCGTACGTAGCCAACCGTGCGAATCGGAGGTGCGGGGAAAGAACAACAAACTATGGCTCTCTGTGTGAATCAATGGGTCACTGAGTCTATGGGTCTGTGTGTGAGTAGTGTATGGGTGTCTGTGTGAGTCTGGGTCTATGGGTCTCTGTGTGAGGAGTCTATTGGTCGCCGTGTGGTGAGTCTGGGTCACTGTGAGTCTATGGGTCTCTGCTGTGTGAGCCTGTGGGTCTCTGTGTGGTGAGTCTATGGGTCTCTGCTGTGTGAGCCTGTGGGTCTCTGTGTGGTGAGTCTATGGGTCTCTGTGTGGTGAGTCTGCGGGTCTCTGTGTGGTGAGTCTGCGGGTCTCTGTGTGGTGAGTCTGTGGGCCTCTGTGTGGTGAGTCTGTGGGTCTCTGTGTGGTGAGTCTATGGGTCTCTGTGTGGTGAGTCTATGAGTCTCTGTGTGGTGAGTCTATGGGTCTCTGTGTGGTGAGTCTATGGGTCTCTGTGTGAGGAGTCTATGGGTCTCTGTGTGGTGAGTCTATGGGTCTCTGTGTGGTGAGTCTATGGGTCTCTGTGTGGTGAGTCTATGGGTCTCTGTGTGAGGAGTCTATGGGTCTCTGTGTGGTGAGTCTGGGTCACTTCGAGTCTGCGGGTCTCTGTGAGGAGTCTATGGGTCCCTGTGCGAGACGATGCGTACGTACGTTGAACTTACTTTGCACCGTACGTAGCCAACTAAGCGGGGGTGCGGGTTAAAGGACGACAAACGAGGGCACACTGGAAAGTAGGCGGCTCGGCCTCCACACGAGGGAGCACCCTGAGTGCCCCTCCAGGGGGTATCTTGATGACCTCTTTAACGCACCCCTTGGAAGAGGCGAGGGCCACTTCACCGTACCACACGCTTTTACCCATCGATGCGGCGGTGGCGGGGCTGCGAATGACGTCGGCGGCCTTGCAATGGTCTGGCTTCGATTCCAGTACTCGGCGCCACTCCCTGCGTGTCGGGAGTTTGTGTCCTCCCTTCCTACTGTTCTGCGGAGGTGGGCGAGTGTGCGCGAGTTCGTGGGGAGCTTGTGGCGTAGCGGCTAGCGCTCCGAACCCGGCGACACGGGTTCGACTCCCGCTCACGGCCAACACCGGTGACGATCGTCTGAACCGGTCCCGGGCCTCCCCGAGGTCGACTCGGCCGCAAATGAGCACCCGGTGCGGTGTGGTAGTAAACATCGCCACTAGGGAGGCAAAGGCGGTCGGGCGTGGTGCTGGCCACCCACCCCCCTCGTGTGCCGTGCCGGCCTTCATAGGCGGTGCTCGCTAACAGCACTTGCCCCAACAGTCTGTTACAGGCTGCACGGGGGGATCTTTGTCTTTGAATGAGTGTAGTCGTGTCCTTGGCGCCCTCCCCGAGGTCGACGCGGCCTCAATGAGTACACGGTACAATGTGCAATTATCCCTTCTCGGGAGACAAAGGCGGCTGGGCATGGTGCTGGCCACTCGCCCCCTCTTGTGGCGCACCGACCTTCATCGCCGTGTCTCTGGTCGTGCGTCTAGCTGTGTGCATCTGGCCGAATGTCTAGCCGTGCGTCTGGCCATGCGTCTCGAGCCGTGCGTCTCGAGCCGTGCGTCTAGCCCTGTGTCGCGAGCTGCGTCTCTGATTGCCGCATGCTGTCAAGGAAATTCAAGGTCACGCGTTCACCCAACGCCCGCATCGCCACACCTCGCCCACCCCACCCACTTGCTCACCCACTCGCTCACTCACCTACATGCATCGCTTACACGTACTCGCAAACACGCTCCCACGCTCACCCACCCACTCACATGGTCACTCACTCAATCACCGTCTGTTCATTCACCTACGCGCTCACTCACACACTCAGATGCACACCTGCATACGCATATACTCGCACACATACAGTGAGGGAAAAATGTATTTGATCCCCTGCTGATTTTGTACGTTTGCCCACTGACAAAGAAATGATCAGTCTATAATTGTAATGGTAGGTTTATTTGAACAGTGAGAGACAGAATAACAACAACAAAAAATCCAGAAAACGCATGTCAAAAATGTTATAAATTTATTTGCATTTTAATGAGGGAAATAAATATTTGACCCCCTCTCAATCAGAAAAAATTTCTGGCTCTCAGGTGTCTTTTATACAGGTAACGAGCTGAGTTTAGGAGCACACTCTTAAAGGGAGTGTGCTTATTCTCAGCTTGTTACCTGTATAAAAGACACCTGTCCACAGAAGCAATCAATCGGATTCCAAACTCTCCACCATGGCCAAGACCAAAGAGCTCTCCGAGGATGTCAGGGACAAGATTGTAGGCCTACACAAGGCTGGAATGGGCTACAAGACCATTGCCAAGCAGCTTGGTGAGAAGGTGACAACAGTTGGTGCGATTATTCGCAAATGGAAGAAACACAAAAGAACTGTCAATGTCCTTCGGCCTGGGGCTCCATGCAAGATCTCACCTCGTGGAGTTGCAATGATCATGAGAACGGTGAGGAATCAGCCCAGAACTACACGGGAGGATCTTGTCAATGATCTCAAGGCAGCTGGGACCATAGTCACCAAGAAAACGATTGGTAACACACTATGCCGTGAAGGACTGAAATCCTGCAGCGCCCGCAAGGTCCCCCTGCTCAAGAAAGGACATATACATGCCCGTCTGAAGTTTGCCAATGAACATCGGAATGATTCAGAGGACAACTGGGTGAAAGTGTTGTGGTCAGATGAGATCAAAATGGAGCTCTTTGGTATCAACTCAACTCGCCGTGTTTTGAGGAGGAGAAATGCTGCCTATGACCCCAAGAACACCATCTCCACCGTCAAACATGGAGGTGGAAACATGCTTTGGGGTGTTTTTCTGCTAATGGGACAGGAAAATTTCACCGCATCAAAGGGACGATGGACGGGACCATGTACCGTCAGATCTTGGGTGAGAACCTCCTTCCCTCAGCCAGGGCATTGAAAATGGGTCGTGGATGGGTATTCCAGCATGACAATGACCAAAAACACTCGGCCAAGGCAACAAAGGAGTGGCTCAAGAAGAAGCACATTAAGGTCCTGGTAGTGGCCTAGCCAGTCTCCAGACCTTAATCCCATAGAAAATCTGTGGAGGGAGCTGAAGGTTCGAGTTGCCAAACGTCAGCCTCGAAACCTTAATGACTTGGGAGAAGATCTGCAAAGAGGAGTGGGACAAAATCCCTCCTGAGATGTGTGCAAACCTGGTGGCCAACTACAAGAAACGTCTGACCTCTGTGATTGCCAACAAGGGTTTTGCCACCAAGTACTAAGTCATTTTTTGCAGAGGGGTCAAATACTTATTTCCCTCATTAAAATGCAAATCAATTTATAACATTTTTGACGTGCGTTTTCCCGGATTTTTTTTGTTATTCTGTCTCTCACTGTTCAAATAAACCTACCGTTAAAATTTTAGACTGATCATTTCTTTGTCAGTGGGCAAACGTACAAAATCAGCAGGGGATCAAATACTTTTTTCCCTCACTGCAGATGTAGATGGCATGGGTTTTTCACGTTCTGCAGATGTAGATGCCACTGGTTCTTAATTTTCTGCAGATGTAGATGCCACCACCGCCATCTATTGCACGGCGGTTGAACTTACGTATCTCTGAAAGTTCGTAAGTCGAGTGTTCGTAAGTAGAGGAGTCCCTGTATGTGTGTTGTTTGTGTGTGTATATACGGGTTACGTGTGTAATGTCCGTTGTCTACATGCGGCGTGTATATGCATCACGTGAATGTGTGTTGTGTACATTGTCTGTGTTTTGTGTACATTGTGTGTGTGTATATGCGTCACGTGAATGTGTGTGTGTGTACATTGTGTGTGTGTATATGCGTCACGTGAATGTGTGTGTGTACATTGTGTGTGTATATGCATCACGTGAATGTGTGTGTGTACATTGTGTGTGTGTGTGCGTCACGTGAATGTGTGGTGTGTACGTTGTGTGTGTGTGTATATGTGTCACGTGAATGTGTGTTGTGTACGTTGTGTGTGTGTATATGCGTCACGTGAATGTGTGTGTGTACGTTGTGTGTGTGTATATGCGTCACGTGAATGTGTGTGTGTACGTTGTGTGTGTGTGTACGTTGTGTGTGTGTGTATATGCGTCACGTGAATGTGTGGTGTGTACATTGTGTGTGTGTATATGCGTCACGTGAATGTGTGTGTGTGTGTACGTTGTGTGTGTGTGTATATGCGTCACATGAATGTGTGGTGTGTACATTGTGTGTGTATATATGCGTCACGTGAATGTGTGGTGTGTACGTTGTGTGTGTGTATATGCGTCACGTGAATGTGTGTTGTGTACGTTGTGTGTGTGTTTATATGAGTCACGTGAATGTGTGTGTGTACATTGTGTGTGTGTGTGTATATGCGTCACGTGAATGTGTGGTGTGTACGTTGTGTGTGTGTGTATATGCGTCACGTGAATGTGTGGTGTGTACGTTGTGTGTGTGTGTGTGTGCGCGTTGAGTTGCAGGAGCACGATGTGGAGACTGCGTATGGCGTTCTGCACGTGACGGTGCGCGGTTCGCCCAAGGCGAACAAACCAGTCATCCTCACCTACCACGACATGGGCCTGAACCGTGAGTGACCACTCCCCGTTACCGTGACGGGGCGCCCGAACCGTGAGTGAGCACTCTCCGATGACGATTATCTCAACCGGTCCTGGGCCCCTCCCCTAGGTCGACCGTCTCGAACGAGTACCCAGTGAGGCGTGTGGTAAACACCGCCTCTTGGGGGAGACAAAGGCGGCCGGGCGTGCGTGGTGCTGGCCACCCCCCCCCCCCCCCCCCCGTCATGTGCCACAGTGCCGGCCTTCATAGGCTAACAGCACTTGCCCCAACAGTCTGTTAAGGCTACACGGGGGGGGGGGGGGTCCTTTGTCTCTGTTGCGTGTGTGCGGGGAGCGGCGGCGCAGCGGTGAGCACGCCGCACTTCACGAACCCGGACGTACGAGCCCCAGGTTCGATTCCCGCTTGCGCGGACGACCTCTTTTCCTCTCTTCTCGTCCTCTCTGAGCAGACAAGTCGTGCTTCAACACGCTCTTCAACTATGAGGACATGCAAGAGATCTCCAAGCACTTCGCCATCTACCACATCGACGCGCCAGGGCAGCAGGAAGGAGCTGCCCAGTTCCCCAACGGGTAGGCGGGCCGCAGTGGGAGGGGGAGGGCGGTGGCGGGGGTGGGCAGCCTGATGCCAAAATGGGTGGTGGGCAGTGGGTGGCACGCCTCAAAAAGGGCAGCAGTGCCCAGCCGCACTCGTAGATCAAAATATTTAATGATACTGCAGGAATCCGATCGGCTATGAAGCTCTTGTTTTGAACGGATGTCCAGTGGTTGTCGTCACGTGTCAGGTGTAAGCCGTAGTGGGAGGGGGGGCGGCACTTGATAAAAAGAGGGCGGCGCTTGATAAAAAGGGGGCGGCGCTTCGTAAAAAGGGGGCGGCGCTTCGTAAAAAAGGGGGCGGCACTTGATAAAAAGGGGGCGGCACTTGATAAAAATGGGGCGGCACTTGATAAAAATGGGGCGGCACTTGTTAAAAAGGGGGCGGCACTTGACAAAAAGGGGGCGGCACTTGTTAAAAAGGGGGCGGCACTTGTTAAAAAGGGGGCGGCACTTGCTAAAAAGGGGGCGGCACTTGATAATAAGGGGGCGGCACTTGATTAAAAGGGGGCGGCACTTGATAAAAAGGGGGCGGCACGTGATAAAAAGGGGGCGGCACTTGATAAAAAGGGGGCGGCACTTGATAAAAAGGGGGCGGCACTTGATAAAAAGGGGGCGGCACTTGATAAAAAGGGGGCGGCACTTGTTAAAATTAGGGCAGCACTTGATCGAAAGGGGGCGGCGCTTGATGGAAAGGGGGCGGCGCTTGATGAAATGGGGGCGGCACTTGATAGAAAGGGGGCGGCACTTGATAGAAAGGGGGCGGCGCTTGATGAAATGGGGGCGGCACTTGCTAAAAATGGGGCAGCGCTTGCTAAAAAGGGGGCAGCACTAACTGGCGTTGACCTTTGGCTCCCCCTCCCCAAGGTACCAGTATCCAAGCATGGACCAGCTGGCCGAGATGCTACCCTCGATTGCCACGCACTTCAGTCTGCGCAGCATCATCGGCATCGGCGTTGGCGCCGGTGCCAACATCCTGGCTCGCTTCGCGGTGAGCCACAAACAACGGTGCCTGGGGGAGGCTCGCCACGAGTCCTCTCTCTGTGGGGAGGTTCACAATGGCTATGTCAGAGACTGAGATGGCACTGCTGAGATCCTGGGATTCAGCCCCGCGCCTGTCTCTCACGCTCTTGAGGGATTCATGATAGTCATTGACTCACACAGCAGAGAATCATTAATTCACACAGCAGAGACCCATAGACTCATCACACAGCAGAGACCCATAGACTCAAACAGCAGAGACCCATAGATTCATCACACAGCAGAGACCCAGAGACTCACACAGCAGAGACCCATAGACTCGCACAGCAGAGACCCACAGACTCGCACAGCAGAGACCCACAGACTCACACAGCAGAGACCCATAGACTCACACAGCAAAGACCCATAGACTCGCACAGCAGAGACCCATTTCTTCTCACACAGAGACCCATAGACTCCTCACACAGTCCCATAGACTCCTCACATAGAGACTCATAGACTCCTCACACAGAGACCCATAGACTTCTCACAGAGACCCATAGACTCCTCACACAGTCCCATAGACTCCTCACACAGTCCGATAGACTCCTCACATAGAGACTCATAGACTCCTCACACAGAGACCCATAGACTTGTCACACAGAGACCCATCGACCTTTTGGCTTCATCTCTGTCGTGGTTGCAGCTCCAGCACCCGGAGCTGCTGGAGGGCCTGGTTCTCATCAACATTGACCCCTGCGCCAAGGGCTGGATCGACTGGGCCACAGCCAAGGTAGCTTCGTGGTGTCTCTCTCTCTGTCTTCCAAGGGGGGTTCACGATGGCCGTGTCAGAGACACTGAGATCCTGGGTTAGAGCCCTGGGTCTGTCTGTCTCTCAGGGGGTTCACGATGGCCGTGTCGGAGACACTGAAATCCTGGGTTCAAGTTCTGGGTCTGGGTGTCTCTCTCACGGGGTTGATGATGGCCATGTCGGAGACACTGAGTTCCTGGGTTAGAGCCCTCGGTCTGGGTGTCTCTCTCAGGGGGTTCACGATGGCCGTGTCAGAGACACTGAGAGCCTGGGTTCAAGCCCTGGGTCTGGGTGTCTCTCTCAGGGGGTTCACGATGGCCGTGTCTGAGACGCTGAGATCCTGGGTTAGAGCCCTGGGTCTGGGTGTCTCTCTCAGAGGGTTCACGATGGCCGTGCCGGAGACGCTGGGATCCCTGGGTTAGAGCCCTGGGTCTGGGTGTCTCTTTCTCTCTCAGGGAGTTCACGATGGCCGTGTCGGAGATACTGAGAGTCTGGGTTCGAGCACTGGGTCTGGGTTTCTCTCTCTCAGGGGGTTCACGATGGCCGTGTCAGAGACACTGAGAGTCTGGGTTCAAGCCCTGGGTCTGGGTGTCTCTCTCTCTCTCAGGGGGTTCACGATGGCCGTGTCAGAGACGCTGGGATCCTGGGTTCGAGCCCTGGGTCTGGGTGTCTGTCTCAGGGGGTTCACGATGGCCGTGTCGGAGACACTGAGAGTCTGGGTTCAAGCCCTGGGTCTGGGTGTTGTCTCTCAGGGGGTTCACGATGGCCGTGTCAGAGACACTGAGAGCCTGGGTTCAAGCCCTGGGTCTGGGTGTCTCTCTCAGGGGGTTCACGATGGCCGTGTCAGAGACACTGAGAGCCTGGGTTCAAGCCCTGGGTCTGGGTGTCTCTCTCAGGGGGTTCACGATGGCCGTGTCAGAGACACTGAGAGCCTGGGTTCAAGCCCTGGGTCTGGGTGTCTCTCTCAGGGGGTTCACGATGGCCGTGTCTGAGACGCTGAGATCCTGGGTTAGAGCCCTGGGTCTGGGTGTCTGTCTCAGGGGGGTTCACGATGGCCGTGCCGGAGACGCTGGGATCCCTGGGTTAGAGCCCTGGGTCTGGGTGTCTCTTTCTCTCTCAGGGAGTTCACGATGGCCGTGTCGGAGATACTGAGAGTCTGGGTTCAAGCCCTGGGTCTGGGTGTCTCTCTCTCTCAGGGGGTTCACGATGGCCGTGTCAGAGACGCTGGGATCCTGGGTTCGAGCCCTGGGTCTGGGTGTCTGTCTCAGGGGGTTCACGATGGCCGTGTCGGAGACACTGAGAGCCTGGGTTCAAGTCCTGGGTCTCGGTGTCTCTCTCAGGGGGTTCACGATGGCCGTGCCGGAGACGCTGGGATCCCTGGGTTAGAGCCCTGGGTCTGGGTGTCTCTCTCTCAGGGAGTTCACGATGGCCGTGTCGGAGATACTGAGAGTCTGGGTTCGAGCACTGGGTCTGGGTTTCTCTCTCTCAGGGGGTTCACGATGGCCGTGTCAGAGACACTGAGAGTCTGGGTTCAAGCCCTGGGTCTGGGTGTCTCTCTCTCTCTCTCTCAGGGGGTTCACGATGGCCGTGTCAGAGACGCTGGGACCTGGGTTCGAGCCCTGGGTCTGGGTGTCTGTCTCAGGGGGTTCACGATGGCCGTGTCGGAGACACTGAGAGCCTGGGTTCAAGTCCTGGGTCTGGGTGTCTCTTTCAGAGGGTTCACGATGGCCGTGTCAGAGACACAGAGTCTGGGTTCAAGCCCTGGGTCTGGGTGTCTCACTCAGGGGGTTCACGATGGCCGTACCGGAGACACTGAGAGTCTGGGTTCAAGCCCTGGGTCTGGGTGTCTCTCTCACGGGGTTCACGATGGCCGTGTCGGAGACACTGAGACCTAGGTTAGAGCCCTGGGTCTGGGTGTCTATCTCAGGGGGTTCACGATGGCCGTGTCAGAGACACTGAGATCTTGGGTTCAAGCCCTGGGTCTGGGTGTCTCTCTCAGGGGGTTCACGATGGCCGTGCCGGAGACACTGAGAGTCTGGGTTAGAGCCCTGGGTCTGGGTGTCTCTCAGGGGGTTCATAATGGTCGTGTCGGAGACATTGAGCCAGCAGTACTGGGTTAATGTGTTGGAGCTGGGCCTACGCACCCCACCCCACCTACCCACATTGTCTACCACCACCATCACCAGCACCACCATCACCAGCACCACCATCACTACCAATACCATCATCACCAGCAGCATCACTACTATCAATATCATTACCAGCACCACCATCACTATCAATACGATCTTCACCAGCACCACCATCACGATCAATGCCATCACCAGCACTATCAGCACTATCAATATCATCATCATCACCAGCACCACCATTATCAATACCTTTATCACCAGCACCATCAACACCACCACTAGCAATACCATCATCACCACCACCATCACTATCAGTACCATCATCACCAGCACCACCATCTATCAGTACCATCATCACCAGCACCACCATCATCAATATGGATACCATCATTACCAGCAACACCATCACTATCAATACCATCATCAACAGCAACACCATCACTATCAATACCATCATCACCAGCACCACCGCCACCATCACTATCAATACCATCATCACCAGCACCTCCATCACTATCAATACCATCATAACCAGCACCACCATCACTATCAATATCATCACCAACAACAATCGCCATGCGCCACTAAGTGGCGGTGACGTCACCACGACGCTTGTGCCAGGCTATGTGCACATTGAGGCCACGTGAAGTATCAAAACGCCCGCTGGCAGGAGGTCACGGGGCAGACCCAGGTGCTACGGGTCGACTGACTGAGAGGATTGGCTGATGCACCACCTGTGCCCCCTACTGTGCCAACTTGCTGTAGTATCCTTCACGAGCCTCCTCCACAGACGCTGATATTGACACCGCTGGTACCAGTCATCGGCAAGTCCACTCAGCTCTACATCCTCCTGTACCACATCACTCCATCTCTTCTCTAGCCCGTACCGCGCCCATTTCGCCCCCTCGATCCAGCCAAACTAAAGCTGTTTAGGCATATGGTGGCTGGGCATGCGGGCTACATGACCCAGCCAACGCAGCCTTGCCTGCCAGAGGAGCTCACCGATGGGACCTTGTCCACATCTTCCAAGGATTTGTGAGCTCCTCACACAATCCAGCCTGGTTAAACCCAGGATGGATCGTAGGCAGACCAGCCTAAATGTTTCTAACCGGCGAAGATGTTCCATTAAGGGGGTCCACGTTTCGCAAGCTTAGAGAAGGGAGGGAATGACTGTGGCCGTGAAGACCTGAAGTTTCGTGTGTAGCGACAGACCAGGTAGCTTCCACACAGCGTTACGCAACCAATGAAAAGATATTGCCGCTCGACTGATTCGGAGTGAGACCTCTGTTGTCAAACCGGAGCCGGTCATGAGCACACTGGCCAGGTATGGAAAACTCTCCACTCTCTCCACAACTGCCCTACCACCAATTTGGAGTTGTGGGGGTGGAGTGTCCGATGGTACAAAATACCCAGGCAGATGCTTAGTTTTGGTGGGATTGATGGTAAGTCCCCCACCTCTTAGTGGCAAGCCCCAGGTTCAGCAGCTGCGCCTCTAACTCCTCCGAGTGAGCAGCAATTACCAGATCATCGGCATACGTAACATGGTTGAGCAATAGGGAGCCATCCCTTGACCGCACCCGGGCATCGATCAGCCTCCCATTGTATCTGTACCAGATGGAAATTCCTCTGGTACAGCTATTAAAGGCTTCACAAACTACGTGGTCGAAATAGATGTTAAACAATGTGGGAGCCAGAGGACATCCCTGTCGCACCCCAAGGTGAACAGGGAATGGCTCCGACTCCCAGCCACGTAGCTTTACCCGGGTCCGCTCACAAACATGAAGGTCCTTAATGATCGTGAGCAACGGTAGTCCAGCAGATGTTCTTGCTTGGACTAGGCATGCATCCATGATATTGTGTGGATGCACCGATGCCGGAACAGCGTGTTGGTAATTACAAGCGCATGGGCTGCACAAAAATGTAGCAGCCTCCTACCGTTGTTATTGAGCTGATCTGGCCCATGCCCTCCAATCACTCCAGACCAGGTGCCAGTATCATGACCAACTCGGGCATTGAAGTCACCCAACAAGATGACTATCCCGAGGAGCCACTTTAGCCAGCACCGGTGACAGGATGTCATCGAAGGCATCTGACTCATTGGCCTTGCCTGCATCCCTCCACGGATGTTCGTTTTCGGTGGGGGCATAAGTAGCTACGACCACCATTCCTCGCCTCCGGTTGATGGGAAGGCGAGCCCAAAGTAGTCTGGGGCTTACAGCTTCCCACACCTCACTGCCATGCTCCCACGCCCCCTTCATTCGTTTGTTCAGAAGAAGAGGCATTCCCTGTTGTTTGGCAGTCTGCTGCCCCGAGTAGAGGACTGTCCACCCCTCATGGTGGCAGGAGCCAGAGCCGGTCCACCGGACCTCCTGAATACCACAGAGTTCCAGGCAGTACCGGTCCAGCTCCCAACAGAGGAGTGGCAGCCTCTCCTCCGCAGTGAGCGTTCGAACATTCCACGTGGCCACACGCAGTGGCTTTTTGTTACTTCTGGAGGAGCCCCGAGGATAAGGATTCAGTCTCCTGCCTCCGCCAAATTGGGGTTTGGCCAGGAGACGTCATAGACGCCTGTCCCCCACCGGGGCCTCCGGCACAAGCTTTTATTACATTTTTTAAATCGTAGTTTGGTGGTAGTTAGTTGAAGGTGGAGGGGTTACCAGCCCCTCGCACACGTCCAGAGGCTCCATTTGGCCGCTGTGGTGGTTACAAAGGCCACGTCCGGCAAAAACAACCCCCTGCCTCCTCGTGGTGCCGGGCGGCAACGCTGTGGTTGGCAGTGCTGTGGGGGGTGGAGGGCCAATTTAGATTGGTCATTCCCTTAATGGCTTTTGTAATCCTCATCACCGGCACCATCACCATCAATACCGTCATCACCGCCGTCATCACCACCACCACCACCACCAACGATTACTAGCACCACTGCCACGACCACCAATCTCCAGCCTTGCCACGAACGCCACGATGTCTCTTATCAGCATGACTGGTGGACGGTCGCGCGCGCGATTGGATATGCCTGTTTCGTTCCGGGCCTTCACAGGTTTTCGTGAACAGCGCTTGCCCCCCTGCAGTCTGTCGAAAGGCTTTACAAGGGGGATCTTTGTCTTGTCTCTTAGCTCTTTCGGTAAAGTCACGTTGAAGGGAAACAATAAAATAATAAAATATATAAAACAATTTTTTTATTGTTTTATATATATTTTATTATTGTATTGTTTCCCTTCAACGTGGTGACTTTACCGAAAGAGCTAAGAATATGAATTACTGCAGTCACGAAAGCTTTAAATAAAAATTTAGATCTTTGTCTTGTTTCCCGGGGAAGCGGCGGCACAGCGGTTAGCGCCGCACCGCACTACGAACCCGGTGACGACCCGAATCCGATTGCCCGCATCACCACCACCACCACCGATAATTATTTGAACAACCGGTCCTAGGCCTCCCACACCCTGGGTCGACTCGGCGTCAAACGAGCACCCGGTGCCGTGTGCAAACATCGCCCCCCGAGGGAGACAAAGGCGGCCGGGCGGGCGTGCGTGACGCTACCCACCCTTCCCTTCGTGTGCCCCCCCCCCCCCTACAGTGACGTCCCTTGTTAGCGTCGTCGCTGCTCCATGCTACGAGCAACACTTTGCCCGCCCCCCTCTCCCCAACAGTCTGCTAAGGCCACGCGGGTGACCTTTGCCTTCGTGTTGTTGTCTCTGCAGCTGTCCGAGTTCACCAGCACGCTGTCCGACATCCTCATGTCTCACCACTTCAGCCAGGCAAGTGCGGTCGAGGCCTGGGGGCCTTACGTGTCTGTGTCGAGCGCGGCGGGGTTCGTAATGGCCGTGTCGGGAGACGCGGAGATCGTGGGGTTCGAGGTCCGGGTGCCTCTCTCTCTCGGGGAGTTTATCATGGCCGTGACGGAGACACTGGGTGTACTGCGTTCGAGCCCTGGGTCTGGGTGTCTCTCTCTCTCTCTCAGGGGGTTCATAGTGGCCGTGTCGGAGACACTGGGCGTTCTGGGTTCGAGCCCTGGGTCTGGGTGTCTCTCTCAGGGGGTTCATAGTGGCCGTGTCGGAGACACTGGGCGTCCTGGGTTCGAGCCCTGGGTCTGGGTGTCTCTCAGGGGGTTCACGATGGCCGTGTCGGAGACACTGAGAGTCTGGGTTCGAGCCCTGTGTCTGGGTGTCTCTCTCTCTATCAGGGGGTTCACGATGGCCGTGTCAGAGACACTGAGAGCCTGGGTTCGAGCCCTGGGTCTGGGTGTCTCTCTCTCAGGGGAGTTTATAATGGCCGTGTCGGAGACACTGGGTGTCCTGGGTTCAAGCCCTGGGTCTGGGGGTCTCTCTCTCTCTGGGGGTTCACGATGGCCGTGTCGGAGACACTGGGAGTCCTGGGTTCGAGCCCTGGGTCTGGGTGTCTCTCTCTCGGGGAGTTTATAATGGCTGTGTCGGAGACACTGGGCGTCCTGGGTTCGACCCCTGGGTCTGAGTGTCTCTCTCTCAGGGGGGTCACGATGCCCGTGTCGGAGACACTGGGTGTCCTGGGTTCGAGCCCTGGGTCTGGGTGTCTCTATCAGGGGGTTCACGATGGCCGTGTCGGAGACACTGGGAGTCCTGGGTTCGAGCCCTGGGTCTGGGTGTCTCTCTCTCTATCAGGGGGTTCATAATGGCCGTGTCGGAGACACTGAGAGCCTGGGTTCAAGCCCTGGGTCTGGGTGTCTCTCTCTATCAGGGGGTTCATAATGGTCGTGTCGGAGACACTAAGAGTCTGGGTTCGAGCCCTGTGTCTGGGTGTCTCTCTCTCTCAGGGGGTTCATAGTGGCCGTGTCGGAGACACTGAGAGTCCTGGGTTCGAGCCCTGGGTCTGGGTGTCTCTCAGGGGGTTCACGATGGCCGTGTCGGAGACACTGAGAGTCTGGGTTCGAGCCCTGGGTCTGGGTGTCTCTCTCTCTCAGGGGGTTCACGATGGCCGTGTCGGAGACACTGAGAGTCTGGGTTCGAGCCCTGGGTCTGGGTGTCTCTCTCTCTCGGGGAGTTTATAATGGCCGTGTCGGAGACACTGAGTGTCTGGGTTCGAGCCCTGGGTCTGGGTGTCTCTCTCTATCAGGGGGTTCATAGTGGCCGTGTCGGAGACACTGAGAGTCTGGGTTCGAGCCCTGGGTCTGGGTGTCTCTCTCTCTCGGGGAGTTTATAATGGCCGTGTCGGAGACACTGAGAGTCTGGGTTCGAGCCCTGGGTCTGGGTGTCTCTCAGGGGGTTCATAATGGCCGTGTCGGGTGACACTGAGAGAGCGCCTGAGTTACAGGCGTCCGCACGCACGGCCTTAATGGGTCTTCGCTGACGAAGCACTTGCCCCAGCAGCCTGTGTGGACTACACGGGGGAACTTTGCCTTGCAGGAGGAGCTCCTGAACAATCATGACCTGATTGAGACCTACCGCCAGCACATGGCCCAGGACATCAATCAGTACAACCTGTCGCTGTTCCTGCACGCCTATGACAGGTACGGACACAGCATCCCCCCCCCCCCGCCCTCTCCGCCACCGGATCAATAGCACTGGCCCCCAGATCAATAACCATGCCACCGGATCAATAGCACTGGTCCCCGGATCAATAGCCATGCCACCGGATCAATAGCACTGGCCCCCGGATCAATAACCATGCCAACGGATCAATAGCACTGGCCCCCGGATCAATAACCATGCCACCGGATCAATAGCACTGGCCCCCGGATCAATAACCATGCCACCAGATGAATAGCACCACCCCCAAGTGAGTAGAATACTCTCTGGATTTATAGCGCTAGCCCCAGAACAATAGCACTGTCTCTGGATCAATAGCCCTGCCCCTGGATCAATAGCTATGCCACTGGATCAATAGCCATGCCACCGGATGAATTGCACCACCCCCAAGTCCATAGCATTATTCCCGGGTGAGTGAGCGTGTGTGGGTAAGCGGGTGAGTGAGGGTGTGTGGGTGAGCGGGTGAGTGGGTGAGTGAGCGTGTGTGTGGGTGAGCGGGTGAGTGAGCATGTGTGTGTGTGGGTGAGCGGGTGAGTGAGTGTGTGGGTGAGCGGGTGAGTGATCATGTGTGTGTGTGGGTGAGCGGGTGAGTGAGTGTGTGGGTGAGCGGGTGAGTGAGCATGTGTGTGTGTGGGTGAGCGGGTGAGTGAGTGTGTGGGTGAGCGGGTGAGTGAGTGTGTGGGTGAGCGGGTGATTGAGCGTGTGTGCGTGTGGGTGAGCGGGTGATTGAGCGTGTATGTGTGTGGGTGAGCGGGTGAGTGAGCGTGTGTGCGTGTGGGTGAGCGGGTGAGTGAGCATGTGTGCGGGTGAGTGAGCGTGTGTGCGTGTGGGTGTGAGTGAGTGTGTGGGTGAGCGGGTGAGTGAGCATGTGTGTGTGTGGGTGAGCGGGTGAGTGAGTGTGTGGGTGAGCGGGTGATTGAGCATGTGTGTGTGTGGGTGAGCGGGTGAGTGAGTGTGTGGGTGAGCGGGTGAGTGAGCGTGTGTGTGTGTGGGTGAGCGGGTGAGTGAGTGTGTGGGTGAGCGGGTGAGTGAGCGTGTGTGTGTGTGGGTGAGCGGGTGAGTGAGCGTGTGTGTGTGTGGGTGAGCGGGTGAGTGAGCATGTGTGTGTGTGGGTGAGTGAGCGTGTGCGTGTGTGCGGGTGAGTGAGCGTGTGGGTGTGTGGGTGAGCAGGTGAGTGAGTGTGTGGGTGAGCGGGTGATTGAGCGTGTGTGTGTGTGGGTGAGCGGGTGAGTGAGTGTGTGGGTGAGCGGGTGAGTGTGTGGGTGAGCGGGTGATTGAGCGTGTGTGTGTCTTTGGTGTCTCAGTCGCAGGGACCTGGAGGTGTACCGGCCCGTCCAGGGAGCAGTGGGCACTTCCGTCAAGACCATCACGTAATCACTCACCACGCTCACTCACCACGCTCACTCACCACGCTCACTCACCACGCTCACCACGCTCACTCACCTCGAGCACCACTCTCGCTCGTTCACTCAGCTCGCTCATCACGTTCACTCAGCTTGCACGCTCACTCACCACGCTCGCTCACTCACTCACCACACTTACTCACCACGCTCACTCACCACGCTCACTCACCACGCTCACTCACCACGCTCACTCACCACGCTCACTCACCACGCTCGCCACTTCCTCACCACGCTCGCTCATTCACCACGCCACGCCCTCTCGCTCACTCACCCCGCTCACTCACCCCGCTCGCTCACTCACTCACCACACTTACTCACCACGCTCGCCACTTCCTCACCACGCTCGCTCATTCACCACGCCATGCCCTCTCGCTCACTCACCCCGCTCGCTCACTCACTCACTCACCACACTTACTCACCACGCTCGCTCTTTCGCCACGCTCGCTCTTTCGCTACGCCCTCTCGCTCACTCACCCCGCTCACTCACCCCGCTCGGTCACCCCGCTCGGTCACCACGCTCGCTCACCCCGCTCACTCACCCCGCTCACTCACCCCGCTCGCTCCACCCCACTCGCTCGCCACGCTCACTCACCACCCTCACTCACCACGCTCACTCACTCCGCTCACTCACCTCGATCACCACTCTCGCTCATCACGTTCACTCAGCTTGCACGCTCACTCACCACGCTCACTCACTCACCACACTCGCTCACTCACTCACCACACTCGCTCACTCACTCACCTCGCTCACTCACCCCGCTCACTCACCACGCTCACTCAACCCGCTCGCTCACCACGCTCACTCACCCCGCTCACTCACTCACCCCGCTCGTTCCACCCCGCTCGCTCACCCCGCTCGCTCGCCACGCTCACTCACCCAGCTCACTCACCACGCTCACTCACTCACTCACCACACTCGCTCACTCACTCACCTCGCTCACTCACCCCGCTCACTCACCCCGCTCACTCACCACGCTCACTCAACCCGCTCGCTCACCACGCTCACTCACCCCGCTCACTCACTCACCCCGCTCGCTCCACCCCGCTCGCTCACCCCGCTCGCTCGCCACGCTCACTCACCCAGCTCACTCACCACGCTCGCTCACCCCGCTCAGTCACCACGCTCACTCACCCCGCTCAGTCACCCCGCTCGCTCCACCCCGCTCGCTCACCCCGCTCGCTCGCCACGCTCACTCTCCACCCTCACTCAGCCCGCTCACTCACCACGCTCACTCACCCCGCTCGCTCCACCCCGCTCGCTCACCCCGCTCGCTCGCCACGCTCACTCACCACGCTCGCTCCACCACGCTCACTCACCCCGCTCACTCACCCCGCTCGCTCACCCCGCTCACTCGCCACCCTCACTCACCACACTCACTCACCCCGCTCGCTCCACCCCGCTCGCTCACCCCGCTCGCTCGCCACGCTCACTCACCACCGTCACTCACCCCGCTCACTCACCACGCTCGCTCACCCCGCTCGCTCACCCCGCTCACTCACCCTGCGGAGAGGTAGGGGTTGATGGATGATTGCGTGATGATGGATCGCTCTGTCTCTCTCTGTCTCTCTCTGTCTCTGTGTGTGGCTGTGTGTGGCTGTGTGTGGCTGTGTGTGGCTGTGTGTGGCTGTGTGTGGCTGTGTGTGTCGCAGCTGCCCGGTGATGCTGGTGGTGGGTGACACCTCCCCTGCTGTGGACGCCGTGGTGAGTTCACCGTGAGCCCCCGGCCCTTCTCTGTGTGCCGGCACCACCATCACCGCGGTCTGTCCACTGCCGGATGAAGATCAGTGTGATGGTGATGGTGTCTCTAGCCGGCATGTGCCCTCTAATCCACGTGCTCCTCTCTCTGCCTCTCAGCATAATCACCATCACCTTGGTCTATCCACTGTTGGATGAAGATCAGTGTGATGGTGATGGTGTCTCTAGCCGGCATGTGCCCTCTAATCCACGTGCTCCTCTCTCTGCCTCTCAGCATAATCACCATCACCTTGGTCTATCCACTGCTGGATGAAGATCAGTGTGATGGTGATGGTGTCTCTAGCCGGCATGTGCCCTCTAATCCACGTGCTCCTCTCTCTGCCTCTCAGCATAATCACCATCACCGCGGTCTGTCCACTGCTGGACGAAGATCAGTGTGATGGTGATGGTGTCTCTAGCCGGCATGTGCCCTCTAATCCACGTGCTCCTCTCTCTGCCTCTCAGCATAATCACCATCACCGCGGTCTGTCCACTGCTGGATGAAGATCAGTGTGATGGTGATGGTGTCTCTAGCCGGCATGTGCCCTCTAATCCACGTGCTCCTCTCTCTGCCTCTCAGTATAATCACCATCACCTTGGTCTATCCACTGCTGGATGAAGATCAGTGTGATGGTGATGGTGTCTCTAGCCGGCATGTGCCCTCTAATACACGTGCTCCTCTCTCTGCCTCTCAGTATAATCACCGTCACCTTATCTATCCACTGCTGGATGAAGATCAGTGTGATGGTGATGGTGTCTCTATCCGGCATGTGCCCTCTAATCCACGTGCTTCTCAGTATAATCATCACCACCTTGGTCTGTCCACTGCTGGATGATGATGATGATGTTGATGTCTCTACCCTGCGTGTGCTTTACAGGTGGAGTGCAACTCCCGGTTAGACCCAACCAACACCTCGCTGCTGAAGGTAACCGTCCCGGACGGTCTACCGCCTTCCGCACCGTCACGCTGCTGATGAGACACCGATTGTGCGGACCATTCAAAGCCTGTAAACATCTGGGCAGTTCGAGCAAAGCTTGACTGCTACTGCTGCTGCTGATGAGACACTAAATGTTGAAACCGGTCCTTGCCTATAAACATCTGCGGCAGTTCACCAGCGTTGATTCAAGCAGAGCCTGACTGCTGCTGATGAGACACTGGATGTTGAAACCGGTCCTTGCCCATAAACATCTGGGACAGTTCACCAGCGTTGATTCAAGCAGAGCCTGACTGCTGCTGATGAGACACTGAATGTTGAAGCCGGTCCTTGCCTATAAACAAACATCTGTGGCAGTTCACCAGCGTTGATTCAAGCAGAGCCTGAGTGCTGCTGATGAGACACTGGATGTTGAAGCCGGTCCTTGCCCATAAACATCTGCGGCGCTTCACCAGCGTTGATTCAAGCAGTTCCTGTGACTGCTGCTGATGAGACACCGATTGACGAAACCCAAGGTCGACTCGGCCTTAATTGGGTACCTGGTGCGGTGCGTAGTGAACATCAGCACTGGGAAGACAAAGGCGGCCGGGCGTGCGTGGTGCCGGCCACCACCTTGTGTGCAACTGTGCCGGCCTTCATAGCTGCCGCTGCTGCCGATGCTGCTGCTATAAAGCACTTTCCCATGGCAGTCTGTTAAGGGATAACTGTGGGGGACCTTTGTCTCTGTGTGTGTGTGTGTGGTAGCACTGGGAAGACAAAGGCGGCCGGGCGTGGTGCTGGCCACCCCACACCCCTCATGCGCCACTGTGCCACCCTTCATAGGCGCTGCTATTCGCCTACAGCACTTGCCCCAACAGTCTGTTGAAGGCTCACATGGGGGGGTATGGTTACCCTTCGTCTGTGTGTGTGTTCACAGATGGCCGACTGTGGGGGCCTTCCCCAGGTGGTGCAGGTAAACTCTAGCGCGAATCGGATATTTAAGTCACGTAGAGGTTCCCTCGCTCGCACTCCCAGCCAGCCAACCAGTCACCCACTCGCCCCGTCCGCCCAGCCACCCACCCACCCACTCAGCCACCCATCCACTCATCCACTGGCCCAATCACCCAGCCGCCCACTCGCCCACTCCCTCAACCCACTCGCTCGTCCACTTGCCAACCCGCTCGCTCGCCCAGCCACTCATCCGCTCGCCCACGCACCCAGCCAGCCACCCACTCTCTCACCCACTCGCTCGTCCACTTGCCAACCCGCTCGCTCGCCCAGCCACTCATCCGCTCGCCCACGCACCCGGCCAGCCACCCACTCTCTCACCCACTCGCTCGTCCACTTGCCAACCCGCTCGCTCACCCAGCCACTCATCCGCTCGCCCACGCGCTCACCCACCCACTCACTCACCCAGCCAGCCACTTGACAGCCCACTCGCCCGCTCACCCACTCACCCGCCTGCCCGCCCACCCACTCGCCCGCCCGCTCGCCCACCCGCCCAGGCACTTATCCACTCGCCCACTCACCCACCCACCCACTCGCTCAACCTGCCATCCACCCACCAACAATAGACTCACACAGAGACCCATGGACTCGCACAGAGACCCATGGACTCGCACAGAGACCCATGGACTCGCGCAGAGCCCCATGGACTCGCACAGAGACCCATAGATTCACACAGAGACCCATAGACTCACACAGAGACCCATAGACTCACAGAGAGACTCATGGACTCACGCAGAGACCCATGGACTCACACAGAGACCCATGGACTCACACAGAGACCCATAGACTCAAAGAGACCCATAGACTCACAGAGACCCATAGACTCGCCACACAACAGAGACCCATAGACTCACCACACAACAGAGACCCATAGACTCATCACACAGAGACCCATAGACTCACCCACACAGAGACCCAGAGACTCAGCACACAGAGACCCACAGACTCACCACACAGAGACCCACAGACTCACCACACAGAGACCCACAGACTCTCCACACAGAGACCCATAGACTCTCCACACAGAGACCCATAGACTCACCACACAGAGACCCATTGACTCACCACACAGAGACCCATAGACTTACCACACAGAGACCCATAGACTCACCACACAGAGACCCATAGATTCACACACAAAGACCCATAGACTCGCCACACAGAGACCCACAGACTCACCACACAGAGACCCATAGACTTATCACACAGAGACCCACAGACTCACCACACAGACATTAGCGTGGTTGGCTGCGTACGGTGCGTACGCACATACACACACACACGCGTACGTGCGTGCGTGGTGTTGAGGCTCGTGCTAGGCTCACGCTGGGCATTGGCGGTGTCGTCTCTCCGCAGCCCGGCAAACTCACGGAAGCGTTCAAGTATTTCCTGCAGGGCATGGGATACAGTGAGTATCGTCGGATCCCTGTCGCACGCGCGTCTGTGTCTGTGTGTGTGTGTGTGGATGTGTCTTTGTGTGTGTGTGTCTGTGTGTGTGGATGTGTTGTGTGTGTGTGTATGTGTGTGTGTGTGGATGTGCGTGTCTTCGTGCATGCGTGTCTTTGTGTGTGGGTATCTTTCTGTGTGTGCGTGTGTGTCTGTGTGTGTGTGTGGATGTGTCTTTGTGTGTGTGTGTCTGTGTGTGTGGATGTGTTGTGCGTGTGTGGATGTGTTGTGTGTGTGTGGATGTGCATGTCTTCGTGCATGCGTGTCTTTGTGTGTGGGTATCTTTCTGTGTGTGTGTGTGTGTCTGTGCATGTGTGTGTGGTTGTCTTTGTGCGTGTGTGTCTGTGTGTGTGTGGATGTGTCTGTGTGGGTGTCTGTGTATGTGTGTGTGTGGATGTGTCTTTGTGCGTGTGTGCCGTATGTGTGTGAATGTGTCTTTGTATGTGTGTGTGGCTGTGTCTTTGTGTGTGTTTGTGTCTGTGCATGTGGTCGTGTCTTTGTGCGTGTGTCTGTGTGTGTGTGGATGTCTTTGTGTGTGTTTGTGTCTGTGCATGTGTGTGGTTGTCTTTGTGCGTTTGTGTCTTTCTTCGTGCATGTGGATGTCTGTGTGTCTTTGTGTGTGTGTCTTTGTGCGTGTGTGTCTGTGCGGGTGTGTGTGTGTTTGTCTGGTGTGTAAACATCGCCACTGTGGAGACAAATGGTGGTCGGGCTTGGTGTTGGCAACCCACCCCCTCCTGTGCCGTGCCGGCCTTGATAGGTGCTGGCTAACAGCACTTGCCCCATGTCTGTTAAGGCTATACGGGGGATGTTTGGCTTTGTGTGTCTGTCTGTGTGTGTCTGTCTGTGTGTGTCTGTCTGTGCATGTGTATGAATTGTTGCGTGAGTAAACATCGCCTCTGGGGAGACAAAAGTGGCCGGGCGTGGTGCTGGCCACCCACCCCCTCGTGTGCCTTGCCAGCCTTCATCGGTGATGCTCATCAACAACACTTGTCCCAACAGCCTGGTGAAGGCTACACGGGGGACCTTTTCTTTAAGCCTCCACACTCGGTGATGTTCTTGACAGGGAGGCTCTTCGGTTGTTGTGATTGTTATTGTCTGTCTTTGTGCACCAATCCAGCAGCACTGGCAACAGACTCTCACAGAGACCCACAGACTCTCACAGAGTCCCACAGGCTCTCAGAGACCCACAGACTCTCACAGAGTCCCACAGACTCTCACAGAGACCCACAGTGACCCACAGACTCTCACAGAGACCCACAGAGAACCACAGACCCTCACAGAGAACCACAGACTCTCACAGAGACCCACAGACTCTCACAGAGACCCACAGACTCTCACAGAGACCCACAGACTCTCACAGAGACCCACAGACTCTCACAGAGAACCACAGACCCTCACAGAGAACCACAGACTCTCACAGAGACCCACAGACTCTCACAGAGACCCACAGACTCTCACACAGACCCACAGACTCGCACAGAGACCCACAGGTTCTCGCAGAGACCCACAGACCTTCACAGAGACCCACAGACCCTCACAGAGACCCACAGACTCTCACAGAGACCCACAGACTCTCACAGAGACCCACAGACTCTCACAGACACCCACAGACTCTCACAGAGACCCACAGACTCCCACAGAGACCCACAGACTCTCACAGAGACCCACAGACTCTCACAGAGACCCACAGACCCTCACAGAGACCCACAGACTCTCACAGAGACCCACAGACTCTCACAGAGACCCACAGACTCGCACAGAGACCCACAGACTCACAGAGACCCACCGACTCTCACAGAGACCCACAGACTCTCACAGAGACCCACAGGCTCTCACAGAGACCCACAGACTCTCACAGATACCCACAGACTCTCACAGATACCCACAGACGCTCACAGAGACCCACAGACTCTCACAGAGACCCACAGACTCTCACAGAGACCCACAGAGAATCCACAGACTCTCACAGAGAACCACAGACTCTCACAGAGACCCACAGACTCTCACAGAGACCCACAGACTCTCACAGACACCCACAGACTCTCACAGAGACCCACAGACTCTCACAGAGACCCACAGACTCCCACAGAGACCCACAGACTCTCACAGAGACCCACAGACTCTCACAGAGACCCACAGACTCTCACAGAGACCCACAGACTCTCACAGAGACCCACAGACTCGCACAGAGACCCACAGACTCGCACAGAGACCCACAGACTCGCACAGAGACCCACAGACTCGCACAGAGACCCACAGACTCGCACAGAGACCCACAGACTCGCACAGAGACCCACAGACTCGCACAGAGACCCACAGACTCGCACAGAGACCCACAGACTCGCACAGAGACCCACAGACTCGCACAGAGACCCACAGACTCGCACAGAGACCCACAGACTCTCACAGAGACCCACAGACACTCAGAGACCCACAGATTCTCACAGAGACCCACAGACTCACACAGCAGAGACCCATAGACTCACACAGCTGAGACCCATAGACTCACACAGAGATCCACAGACTCGCACAGAGACCCACAGACTCGCACAGAGACCCACAGACTCGCACAGAGACCCACAGACTCGCACAGAGACCCACAGACTCGCACAGAGACCCACAGACTCGCACAGAGACCCACAGACTCGCACAGAGACCCACAGACTCGCACAGAGACCCACAGACTCGCTCAGAGACCCACAGACCCGCACAGAGACCCACAGACCCGCACAGAGACCCACAGACCCGCAGAGAGACCCACAGACCCGCACAGAGACCCACAGACCCGCACAGAGACCCACAGACTCGCACAGAGACCCACAGACTCGCACAGAGACCCACAGACTCGCACAGAGACCCACAGACTCGCACAGAGACCCACAGACCTGCACAGAGACCCACAGACCCGCACAGAGACCCACAGACCCACAGACCCGCACAGAGACTCAGACTCGTACAGAGGGTGAATGAATGAGCTGGTAAGCGAGAGGGTGGGTGAACAAGTGGTAACTGAGTGAGTGTTTGAGCAAGCAAGCGATATGATGAAGTGTGCGGGTGAGCGAATGGGCGAGTGAACGAGTCGGTGAGTTATTGGATAAGTGCGTGGGTGGTTGAGCGGGTGGGTGAGTGAGTGAGTGAGCAAGTTGATGAGCGAGCGGGTGGGTGTGTGAGCGAGCGCGTGGGTGATCGAGCGAGCGGTTGGATGAGCGGGCGGGCGGATGACCGACCGGGTGAGGAGTGAGTGAGCAAGCGAACGAGCAGGTGGGTGAGCGCGTGGGTGGATAAACGAGCGGATGAGTGAACGAGCTTGTGGGTGGATGAGCCGGTGGGTGGATGAATGAACGAGCGGGTGAGTGAGCGAGCGAGATTGTGGGTGGATGAATGAGCAGGTGATTGAGTGAACGAGTTTTGTGGGTGGATGAGCGGGTGGGTGGATGAATGAACGAGCGGGTGAGTGAGCGAGCGAGATTGTGGGTGGATGAATGAGCAGGTGATTGAGTGAACGAGTTTGTGGGTGGATGAGCCGGTGGGTGGATGAATGAACGAGCGGGTGAGTGAGCGAGCGAGATTGTGGGTGGATGAATGAGCAGGTGATTGAGTGAACGAGTTTGTGGGTGGATGAGCCGGTGGGTGGATGAATGAACGAGCGGGTGAGTGAGCGAGCGAGATTGTGGGTGGATGAATGAGCAGGTGATTGAGTGAACGAGCGAGCTTGTGGGTGGATGAGCGGGTGGGTGAATGAATGAACGAGCGGGTGAGCGAGCGAGCGAGATTGTGGGTGGATGAATGAGCACGTGATTGAGTGAGCGAGCGAGCTTGTGGGTGGATGAGCGGGTGGGTGGATGAACGAGCGGGTGAGCGAGCGAGCGAGCTTGTGGGTGGATGAGCGGGTGGGTGGATGAACGAGCGGGTGAGCGAGCGGGCTTGTGGGTGGATGAGCGGGTGGGTGGATGAACGAGCGGGTGAGCGAGCGAGCTTGTGGGTGGATGAGCGGGTGGGTGGATGAACGAGCGGGTGAGCGAGCGGGCGGGCGAGCGCCCGTGACGGATCGCCCGCCAGGTGTGTGTGTGTGTTTGTGGGGGGTCATATCCGTACCCGCACCCCCTCCACCCCCACCACCACCTACCTCACCTGGTGCAGTTGCACCGCCTGCACACTCTGGATAACAGCCCTGGCGCCCCCCCTCGCCCGCCCGCCCACCCACCCACTGTGTGTGCCAGTCACTGTTGCTTTGTTTCTGTGTTGGTGGACACCCTTGCTCCTTCCATTGTCTTGACGATACGTGTCCCCTCCTCCTCCTCACCCCTTTGCCCCCCCTCCCGCCCCCCCTCCCGCCCCCCTCTAAGTTCCCTATGTGGTGGACAGACGGATGAGTGCCGGTGCAGGTACATGTTTGACCCCCTGGTTTCTTGTCTCTCTCCTCCTCCTCCTCCTCACCTCTCGCATCCACCTCCTCGATGTCATCCACCTCGTCCGCCCGCTTCCTCCACATCCTCATCATCTGCCTGCTCCTCTCCACCTCCTCATCCACCTTCGTCCGCCTCTCCTCCTCGTCTCGGCCTCGTCATGCACTTGTTAATCCACCTCCACCAGGTTCCCTGACCGATCATAACCCCCGATCATGACTCGATAAATCTCTCTCGATTTTATTTTCTGACCATGCTTTCACTCTGCGCGCAACTATTCCTTCCTGCCCGGGTGTAAGGCCCCCCCCCCGCCCCCCCCCGCTGAGTCATCGCAAACGATAGCCGCTCAACAAAGTGGCTGATGTCATCATCGCGCGGAAATTTATGGTAGCAGCCAAATCTGCCGAGCGTGTGTTTCTACAGACTCCTAGAGGGGGACGACCCATCGATCTGCAGAGACCCATGCTTAAAGGCAAAGATCCCCCGTGTAGCCTGCAACAGACTGTAGGGGCAAGTGCTGTTAGCGAGCAGCACCTAGAAAGACAAAGAAACCCCGTGTAGCCTGCAACAGACTGCAGGGGCAAGTGCTGTTAGCGAGCAGCACCTACAAAGACAAAGAAACCCCGTGTAGCCTGAACAGACTGTAGGGGCAAGTGCTGTTAGCGAGCTACAAAGACAAAGATCCCCCGTGTAGCCTGAACAGACTGTAGGGGCAAGTGCTGTTAGCGAGCAGCACCTACAAAGACAAAGATCCCCCGTGTAGCCTCAACAGACTGTAGGGGCAGGTGCTGTTAGCGAGCAGCACCTACAAAGATAAAGATCCCCCGTGTAGCCTGAACAGACTGTAGGGGCAAGTGCTGTTAGCGAGCAGCACCTACAAAGACAAAGATCCCCCGTGTAGCCTGAACAGACTGTAGGGGCAGGTGCTGTTAGCGAGCAGCACCTACAAAGATAAAGATCCCCCGTGTAGCCTGAACAGACTGTAGGGGCAAGTGCTGTTAGCGAGCAGCACCTACAAAGACAAAGATCCCCCGTGTAGCCTGCAACAGACTGCAGGGGCAAGTGCTGTTAGCGAGCAGCACCTACGAAGACAAAGATCCCCCGTGTAGCCTGCAACAGACTGTAGGGGCAAGTGCTGTTAGCGAGCAGCACCTACAAAGACAAAGATCCCCCGTGTAGCCTGCAACAGACTGCAGGGGCAAGTGCTGTTAGCGAGCAGCACCTATGAAGACAAAGATCCCCCGTGTAGCCTGCAACAGACTGTAGGGGCAGGTGCTGTTAGCGAGCAGCACCTACAAAGACAAAGATCCCCCGTGTAGCCTGAACAGACTGTAGGGGCAAGTGCTGTTAGCGAGCAGCACCTACAAAGACAAAGATCCCTCGTAGAGATACATAGAGATATGTAGAGATCCAGAGATACGTAGAGATACGTAGAGACCCAGAGATCCATAGAGATACGTAGAGACCCAGAGATCCATAGAGATCCATAGAGATACGTAGAGACCCAGAAATACATAGAGATACATAGAGACCCAGAGATCCAGAGATACATAGAGATACGTAGAGACCCAGAGATCCATAGAGATACGTAGAGATACGTAGAGACCCAGAGATCCATAGAGATACGTAGAGATACGTAGAGACCCAGAGATCTATAGAGATACGTAGAGATCCATAGAGATACGTAGAGACCCAGAGATCCATAGAGATCCATAGAGATACGTAGAGACCCAGAGATACATAGAGATCCATAGAGATACGTAGAGACCCAGAGATACATAGAGATCCATAGAGATACGTAGAGATCCATAGAGATCCATAGAGATCCGTAGAGATCCGTAGAGACCCAGAGATCCATAGAGATCCATAGAGATACGTAGAGACCCAGAGATCCATAGAGATCCGTAGAGACCCAGAGATCCATAGAGATACGTAGAGACCCAGAGATCCATAGAGATACGTAGAGATACGTAGAGACCCAGAGATCCATAGAGATCCATAGAGATACGTAGAGACCCAGAGATCCATAGAGATACGTAGAGACCCAGAGATCCATAGAGATACGTAGAGACCCAGAGATCCATAGAGATCCGTAGAGATACGTAGAGACCCAGAGATCCATAGAGATACGTAGAGATACGTAGAGACCCAGAGATCCATAGAGATACGTAGAGACCCAGAGATCCATAGAGATACGTAGAGACCCAGAGATCCGTAGAGATCCATAGAGATCCATAGAGATACGTAGAGACCCAGAGAACCATGGAGATACGTAGAGACCCATGGACCAAACTAAACTGTTTTTACTCATTGTTTCTTTCGGTAAAGTCACGTAGTTAGAAATATAATTTTGCTGCAGTCACGAAAGCTTCAAATCAAGATGAAACTATTTTTTGTTTTTTTACCAGGTAAGGCCCCACCGATCGATTTAGCTCTTTTCATCCGAAGCGACCTGGGCCGTCGCAAGTAATCGCGGCTCAACAGAGTGGCTTTTCGTCATCGCCGTGTGGACAATTGTAGCAGCAGCAGTAGCAAGCAGCTAAGCATTCGAGACGGCGTGACGTTGCGATTCTAAACGTCGTGGGAAAAAACCGGAGGACCCGGGAGAAAAATCCACGTGACCACGGGGAGAGACGCACGCAGACTCGAAATGTACAGCAGGTGTAAGGGGGGGGGGGGGGGTCGGGTTCGAACCCATGACCTCCTGTATACCGGGCGAGGTAGTTAACACCTTCCAGGGACATTCCGGGATCCCTTTTGACGATCTTTTTATTGACCTTTCCTGACCCTAAACTCCCCGTGACCACCACTCTGGCCACCATTGCCATCACCACCACTTCCAGCACCATTACCACTACCATCAACACCACTACCATCAACACCACCACCACCGTCACCATCATCACCGTGAACGTTGTCATTGCCATCGCCACCACCATCGTCGCCACCACTGCCACCACCACTACCACCGTTACCACCACCATCAACACCACTACCATCAACACCACTACCACTACTACCACCACTATCACCGTCAACGTTGTCATTGCCATCGCCACCACCATCGTCGCCACCACCGCCACCGCAATTACCAGCCACCATCAACACCACTACCGCCACCGTCACCATCATCACCGCCACCATCGCCACCACTGTTACCCCGCTCGTCAGCACCCCCCAAAAACCCATGCCCTACTGCGGTCAACTCTTGGTTAGCCGGGCTTTGCGCCTTAAAATTATCACTGAGGAATCAACCTCGGGCCAAAACAACCACCCGGGACGTGCCAAACCCCGCTCGCCCCTTCGATAGCCGGGAGCTTCCTCCCCCAGCCGCCTCCACCTGCCGCGTGGGCGAGCCTGAAATTGGGGTCGAGTCGTTGACTGGATGATGATGATGATGGCGGCGGTGGTGGTGGTGGTGGACGCCGGTTAGAAAGTCGGGCACGGGCGCAAGTGAGCGACGCGTTTTTTTTGCGCGTAGTCTAGCGGCGACGTGAGCGGGCCACGCGAATCGACCGAGGCGGTGGCGGTGGTGGTGGTGGTGGTGGTGATTGTGCTGGCCCTAAGAGGCGCCGGTCAGAAAGTTCGGCACGCGAGGGGCCTGCGGGCGAATCCGCCGCGGTCGCCGTGGGTAACCGAGAGTTGACCACTCTGTCCCTCCGCGCCCGCAGCCTGGCATGGATGTCTCCCGAGCCGTTTGAAAGCGGTGTCGTCCTCGTCTCACGCGCGTGCTTCTCGGTTGTCCTACGGCGTCTTCTGCCCTTCCTCCTCCTCCTGCTCCTCCTCCTCCTCATGGCGTCTCCGCCGTCTGCCTGCGTGGTCCCCCCCTTTGCCCGGCCGCTGCCGCACCGCAGTTGGGCAGTTGGGTGGCGGGCTTCTACCCGCTGGCACCGTCGGCACAGAGGGAGAGGGCCGTGCTTGCAGAGCGTGCGCCCGCCCGCTCGCTCGCTCAGCCACTCACCAGCTCACTCACCCACCCGCCCACTCACTCGCACAGCCACTCACCCGCCCACTCACTCGCACAGCCACTCACCCGCCCACTCACTCCCTCACTCACCCATCCATTCACCCACCCACTCACCCACCTACCCACTCACCCACCTACCCACACCCACCCGTACACCCACCCGCTCACCCACCCGCTTGCCCACCCACTCGCCCACCCACTCGCCCACCCGTACAACCACCCAGTCGTCCGCTCGCTCACCCGCTCACCCACCCGCTCGCCCACCCACTCACACACCCGTACAACCACCCAGTCGTCCGCTCGCTCACCCGCTCACCCACCCGCTCGCCCACCCACTCACACACCCGTACACCCACCCAGTCGTCCGCTTGCTCACCCGCTCACCCACCCGCTCACACACCCACCCACCCACCTGTACACCCACCCACTCGTACACCCACCCACCCACCCGTCCACTCGCTCACCCACACACTCACGCCCACCCACCGGTTCACCCACCTGTACAACCCACCCTACCCCCCCCCCGCCTGCCCCGCTGTGCCTGGTCTCTCCCCGCCCTCGCCGCTTTGCCCGGCTTCTCCATCCATCACCTCGGCGGTTTTTGCGGCGGCAATGGACGGACGGGAGAGGGAGGGAGGGCGGGGCGGGGCGGGGTGGGGGAGGGAGGGAGGGAGGGAACGACCGGCAGGAGTTTTCCTTTCCGCTTCAACCGGGGGAGTATTTTTTTTCAATTTGTTTTTTTTTTGGGGGGGCTTATATGTTTGCCGTTGGGTTCGTTCGGCAAAGCCGCCGCGCGGTCTCGCTCGTCGCCGTGCCGCCGCCGCCGCAACCGACTCTGGATTTTCTTTTTTTACCTTCCTCTATTTTCCGAAAAACCGAAAAACGTTTTGTTTGCAGTCCTCTTTGTTTCCTGTTGTTGTTGTTTTTGTTGTTTTGTTTGCAGCGAGAGGGTGGAGGGCGGCGCGACGGGACTTTGTCAGAGCCCTGGCCCCCCACCCCGGTCTGGGTTGGGGCTGTGGTCACTGTGGAACTCGGCCACTCATTGAATGTGCCCCCCACCCACCCACCCACCCCCCTCCGCCCCTCCTGCTGCCCCCCCCCCACCTCGTTTCTTCCTCCTCCATCCATTCTCTCTCTTAATTCTATCCCCACTCCCCATTACACTCTCTCCATCCATCACTCTCTACTCTCTCCATCCATCTCTCTCTCCCCTCACTCTCTCCATCTCTCTCTCCATCCATCTCTCTCCCCTCACTCTCTTACTCTCCATCCATCTCTCTCCATCCATCTCTCCCCTCACTCTCTTACTCTCCATCCATCTCTCTCTCTCCATCCATCTCTCTCTCTCCCCACTCTCTCTCCCTACTCTCTCTCCCTACTCTCTCTCCCTACTCTCTCTCCCTACTCTCTCTCCCTACTCTCTCCATCCATCTCTCTATCCCCCCACTCTCTCCCCACTCTCTCCATCTCTCCCCCCACTCTCTCCCTACTCTCTCTATCCATCTCTCCCCCCACTCTCTCCCCGCTCCCTCTACACACTCTCTCTCCCCACTCTCTCCCCACTCTCTCCCCACTCTCTCCCCACTCTCTCCCCACTCTCTCCCCACTCTCTCCCCACTTTCTCCCCACTCTCCCCACTCTCTCTCCCCGCTCCCTCTACACACTCTCTCTCCCCACTCTCTCCCCACTCTCTCCCCACTCTCTCCCCACTCTCTCCCCACTTTCTCCCCACTCTCCCCACTCTCTCTCCCCGCTCCCTCTACACACTCTCTACACACTCTCTCCCCCCACTCTCTCTCCCCACTCTCTCCCCACTCTCTCCCTGCTCTCTCCCCACTCTCTCTCCCCGCTCTCTCCATCCATTTCTCCCCCCACTCTCTCCCCGCTCCCTCTACACACTCTCTCTCCCCACTCTCTCCCCACTCTCTCTCCCCGCTCCCTCTCTACACACTCTCTCTCCACTCCCACCCTCCGTCTCTCTCCCCGCTCCATTCCCTCTCCCCGCTCCACACCCCCCCCCCCTCCCCTCCTCGTCCCCACCACCACCACCACCACCACCACCCCCCCTCCTCTCCCCCTCACAGTGCCATCTCTGAGCATGACTCGGCTCGCCCGCTCCCGCACCGCGTCCAACTCCAGCGTGAGCTCCGCCGACGGCGGCGGCGGCGGCGGCGGCGGCGCTTCGACCGGGCGTCAGCGCGGCCACGCTCGCTCCCAGTCGGAGGGCAGCGACTCCAGCTCACCGGCACAGCAGCCGAGCTCCGGCGCCGCCGATAACCACGACAGCCACAACCACCAGCACGAGAGGGCGGCGGGAGGCGCCGCCGCCGCCGGATCTCCGCCGTCCGGCGCCGGCCACACAATGGAGGTGTCCTGCTAAGGAGGAGGCGGCGGCGGCCGCGCCGAGGGTGACGGTGGCGGCCGTCGTGGCGATGTTGTGAGGGGCGTCGTCACCGGCGTCGTCACCGGCGTCACTGCGGTCGTCACCGGGGGGGGCGTCGTCACCTGGGGGGGGGCGTCGTCACCGGGGGGGGCGTCGTCACCGGGGGGGGCGTCGTCACCGGGGGGGGCGTCGTCACCGGCGTCATCACCTGGGGGCGTCGTCACCGGCGTCATCACTGGGGGGCGTCGTCACCGGGGGGCGTCGTCACCGGGGGGCGTCGTCACCTGGGGGCGTCGTCACCGGCGTCATCACTGGGGGGCGTCGTCACTGGGGGGCGTCGTCACCGGCGTCATCACCTGGGGGTGTCGTCACCGGCAGCGGCGTCGTCACCGGCGGCGTCGTCGTCATCATTGTTGTAGTCGTGAGAATAAATAATCGCCATCACCGGGCTCGCCGTCGTCGTTACCGAAATAATCATCGTCGTCGTCATCGTCGTCATCGTCGTCTTCGTCACCGGGATCACCGTCGTCACGGGGATGACCGTCGTCGCCACGGGGATTCGCCGTCACCGTCGTCATCGTGACCGCCGTCGTTATATTGGTCGTCCTGGCAACCGCCGTTGTTGTCACTGACATCATTACCACCACCACCACCACCGTTGTTGTTGTTGTTGTTGATGATGCCGCCACCACCACCACCACCACCGTCATCTTGGCTGCACCCCGAAACCCTCGTCTGGCCTGCTCGTTCCCCTGCATCACCTTCACCATCACTGTCACCTTCACCATCACCTGCTTCACCACCATCACCTGCTTCATCATCACCACCACTTCCTCCTCCACCGCCATCATCACCACCACCTACTTCACCATCACCACCTCCTTAGCCACAATCACCACAACCTCCACCATCATCATCATCACCACCACCACCTACTTCACCATCACTGTCACCTTCACCATCACCTGCTTCACCACCATCACCTGCTTCACCGCCATCACCACCTACTTCACCATCACCACCTCCTTAGCCACAATCACCACAACCTCCACCGCCATCATCACCACCACCACCTACTTCACCATCACCACCTCCTTAGCCACAATCACCACAACCTCCACAATCATCACCACCACCACCTACTTCACCATCACTGTCACCTTCACCATCACCTGCTTCACCACCATCACCTGCTTCACCATTACCACCACTTCCTCCACCGCCATCATCACCACCACCTACTTCACCATCACCACCTCCTTAGCCACAATCACCACAACCTCCACCACCATCATCACCACCACCACCTACTTCACCATCACCTCCTTCACCGCCATCACCTTCACCGCCATCACCTGCTTCACCATCACCACCACTTCCTCCTCCACCGCCATCATCACCACCACCTACTTCACCATCACCACCTCCTTAGCCACAATCACCACAACCTCCACCACCATCATCACCACCAGCACCACCTACTTCACCATCTCCTGAGCCACAATCACCACAACCTCCACCATCACCACCACCTACTTCACCATCACCACCTCCTTAGCCACAATCACCACAACCTCCACCACCATCATCACCACCACCTACTTCACCATCACCACCTCCTGAGCCACAATCACCACAACCTCCACCATCATCATCACCACCTACTTCACCATCACCACCTCCTTAGCCACAATCACCACAACCTCCACCACCATCATCACCACCACCACCTACTTCACCATCACCACCTCCTTAGCCACAAACACCACAACCTCCACCGCCATCATCACCACCTACTTCACCATCACCACCTCCTTAGCCACAATCACTACAACCTCCACCATCATCATCACCACCACCACCTACTTCACCATCACCACCTCCTTAGCCACAATCACCACAACCTCCACCATCATCATCACCACCACCTACTTCACCATCACCACCTCCTTAGCCACAATCACCACAACCTCCACCACCATCATCACCACCACCACCTACTTCACCATCACCACCTCCTTAGCCACAATCACCACAACATCCACCATCATCATCACCACCACCACCTACTTCACCATCACCACCTCCTTAGCCACAATCACCACAACCTCCACCATCATCATCACCACCACCACCTACTTCACCATCACCACCTCCTTAGCCACAATCACCACAACCTCCACCACCATCATCACCACCACCACCTACTTCACCATCACCACCTCCTTAGCCACAATCACCACAACCTCCACTGCCATCATCACCACCTACTTCACCATCACCACCTCCTTAGCCACAATAACCACAACCTCCACCGTCATCATCACTTAGCCACAATCACCACAACCTCCACCACCATCATCACCATCACCACCTACTTCACCATCACCTCCTTCACCGCCATCACCTTCACCGCCATCACCTGCTTCACCATCACCACCACTTCCTCCTCCACCGCCATCATCACCACCACCTACTTCACCATCACCACCTCCTTAGCCACAATCACCACAACCTCCACCACCATCATCACCACCACCACCACCTACTTCACCATCTCCTGAGCCACAATCACCACAACCTCCACCATCACCACCACCTACTTCACCATCACCACCTCCTTAGCCACAATCACCACAACCTCCACCACCATCATCACCACCACCACCTACTTCACCATCACCACCTCCTTAGCCACAAACACCACAACCTCCACCGCCATCATCACCACCTACTTCACCATCACCACCTCCTTAGCCACAATCACTACAACCTCCACCATCATCATCACCACCACCACCTACTTCACCATCACCACCTCCTTAGCCACAATCACCACAACCTCCACCATCATCATCACCACCACCTACTTCACCATCACCACCTCCTTAGCCACAATCACCACAACCTCCACCACCATCATCACCACCACCACCTACTTCACCATCACCACCTCCTTAGCCACAATCACCACAACATCCACCATCATCATCACCACCACCACCTACTTCACCATCACCACCTCCTTAGCCACAATCACCACAACCTCCACCATCATCATCACCACCACCACCTACTTCACCATCACCACCTCCTTAGCCACAATCACCACAACCTCCACCACCATCTCATCTTCGTGTGACTATCCTGCGGGGATGATGTGGGTGGCGGGGGGGGAGGAGACGGGGGGTGATGGAGGTTTTTGCTCCGTCGTGGATTCAGAAAGACGGAAAAGTTTGGGGAAAAATACCCCGGAACGGAACTGGGAATGATGGGGGGGGGGGGGCATAAAATAAAGAACTGCTATTTAAAAAAAAAACTGTTACCGAAGAATAAATAAACCGTAATATATATAAAGAATTAATATTCGTATTTAAGAACTTATTCCCACCGTAGGGGGAAAAAAAAAAACAGTTTCGGGGATCTGCGGTTCGAAAGGGAACAGGCCGATCAGCCGGTACAAAAAATAATAAAAAAACACTTTTAAATGCCCCGCCGCGCCCGCTACGGAAACTAAAAAACTGACGCGGGATTTAGTGGGCGGGATTAGCTGTGGGGGCAGCGTTGGTGCGACGCCCCGTGGCTGAGAGTTCGATCTCCCCGCTCACGGCCGCCGCCACCGGCACCGCCAGCCCCCCCCAAGATCGGTGGAAGGCGATCATCCGGCCATTTCTTCCCCGGGGCTGCTCCTCCTCCTCCTCCCCCTCCTAGGTCGACTCGGCCTCAAGCGAGTTACCCGGCACGGCCGTTGCAGTCAACACCGCAACTCGTGCGCCCCACCGTGGTACCGCAGGTTCTGCTCGCCGCTGACGGCGCTTGCCCCCCCCGGTTCTGTCTGTCGAGGCTGTGTAGAGGCAGATTGGGGCGGCGGGCGGGGGGGGGTTGAGGGGTGTCTTTGTGTGCAGTGTCGCCTTCGATGTTTGCGGCTGCTCAGTAATTCCCCGTCGTCAAGTTTGCCCCCGACCCGACCCCCCTTTGATTTGCGTTTTGCCCTTCGTCAAGAGTGACTGCTGCTACTGCCGCCGCTGCGTATACGACATCGGCACCACTGGGGGAGACCCAAGGCGGCGTGGCGTGGCGTGGTGTTTGCCACGCCACCGCTCACCATAATTTAGTTGCCGCGCGCGGCGTTCCGGCCTTCGCGGCCTTGGTAACAAAAGGCTTACCCGGTAGGGGGAAGTGGGGGAGGGGAGGATTGGTCCTCGGTTTCAGTTTTTGTTGTTTGCGTGTGGCTGTTGACTTTTCTGGGCCGCCCTCCCGACTAGCTGCGAATTGCTACAATGCTATGCTCCGATTGGCTACGAATCGCCGCCTCTTCGCCCTGTGATTGGCTAGGAATCGGGCCACTGCTTTGCCCTCCCAATTGGCTACGAAGCACCAGTTCATCCCCCTCCGATTAGCCACGAACGGCCACAACACCGTGCTCCGATTGGTTATGAATCGTCACGACACCGCGCTCCGATTGGCTACGAACCGCCACAACACCGCGCTCCGATTGGCTACGAACCGCCACTACTATGCGCTACGAACCGCCACAACACTGCTCTGGCTGCAAACCGCCACAATCCTGCGCTCCGATTGGCTACGAACTGCCACAACACCATGCTCTGATTGGCTACGAACTGCTGCAACACCGCGCCCTGATTGGCTACGAACCGCCGCAACACCGCGCTCTGATTGGCTACAAACCACCACAACCCCACGCTCCGATTGGCTACAAACAGCCATAACACCGAGCTCCGATTGGCTACTAACCGCCACAACACCGCGCTCCGATTGGCTACGAACCGCCAACAACGCCGCGCTCCGATTGGCTACGAACCGCCAACAACTCCGGGCCTTTCCGATTGGCTACGAGAACTCCAGGAGGGCGCGTACAGCAAGAAAGTTTCGTCTCCGCGCGGTCTCCCGCTTCTGGATTTTTGCATGAAGAAAGCCTTGCAAAGTGGACGAAAAAAAAGACGAACCCGCCACCATTGCTCGCGAGACGTCGCCGGGGAAACTGTAATCTCACCTCGCTCGCCTCGCCCCAACCATCCATCCCCCTCATCCACACCCACCCCCGCCACCCTTCTCTCCCAAGCTTCCTGG